TATATAAACAACATGCTTGTACATCCCTGCACATGTATTACCTTATTACCATAATCTATTAATCACTTACTTCGTAAGTTCGTATTTGCCTATTGCAATATATAGCACTAATACAGAGTATGTATGCACGTAGTTATGCTCAAGTATGTAGTTAGTTCATATAGAAATTGTGCGGTATAAAAAATTGCGAATTCATGGAAATGACAATAAAAACTTAACTTCTTCTACTTCTTAATAGCTTCCAATCAAAGGTTACTCATTACTCATTAGTACTTTCTCTACTAAAACAATAAAACGTATAATTATACTACGTATTGTTTAACATACCCTTAATTGTACTCCGCATTGTTTAACATACCCTTATAGAAAGTGTCCCGTTACATACATTACAATTTAATTGAACAATGGCTAGTTTTGCTAAACTAGTGTATGCAACAAGTATAAGATACAAAGGAATTATTTCAATATGTGTAAGCATATTAATTGAGTTTTCACGTGTAATTTCATTACAAATATAATAATACTTTGTATTATGTATTGTTATAAGTTGTGTCTTTCTTCATAGTAACTCCCATTTAAGGCGTTATATATATTCACTTGTAAGTTGTGTCTTTCTTCATAGTAAGTCTCATTTAAACGTTATATTCTTATATTAGTTATATATATTCATACTTCATCCAATTTAAAAAGATTAAAATTTTCAAAACTTCTGATTGCCTAAGTGTATTAGCATGAGCAAGATAGGGTCCACTTCTTTTAGGCCTACGATTAACCTTCCTAATCTAAAATTGATTAATAATTTTATAAGAAAACCATTAAATGAATACAGTACTTAATTAATAAGAATGAAATTTTTACAATTAGATGTATGTTTCAGATTTGTGATGCACATTATATACGTAAAATATTGATAAGTGATAACATCATGTTCAAATGTTCAATTAAAAGGCATTTTCAATTAATTAAAACATAGATCTGCTGATTATTATAAACTTTTAAAGGCATATATTCATAGAGAGGTTGGTCAGAATTTTAAACTAAGAAATTGATTTAATATTGTAGGCTTGTAGCTGAGGTGAACTTATAAAATAATATTTTAATTAATTTAATAATAAGGGTGATGGACATGATTCCACCATCTCTAAAATGCTTAGTCATGCATATAATCATTGTTATTAAATATAATTAAGGTGGTTGTTTTGTTACATGTATAATATTAAACTAACTTTATTTTACTATAACTTTCCAACTTCATCATGATAACGTTATCATTAGATAAAGACTCACGTCTAAATATGGACTAGCTAGCTATAAATAAGCTCAAATTTTCATTATGGATTTCTTTAAGTTCTATTGTAAGGTTTGTTTCAAATCTTCCCAAAAGGTGTTGCTCATTAAATTTACATGTACAAGTCGAGAATTGAGTATAGGTTTGAAATCAATTCAAAAGGCTCAAAGCTCGTGTCATATCATTTGATCTACATACTCTTCATATACTTTGATCTTGAATCTTAATGGTGCTAAAGGCTATGCGCGTAATAACAACTTCTTAGTAGTAAAAAGTATAGAGCTTTCTACTCAAACACACAAAAGAAAGAGATTGAGGAAGCAATACTTCAAACAAAGTGCAATTGATATTAGTCATGTAATGTGTTAGAATGGTTGCTTAGGTTATACTTACCAAAAAATAGCTAAATGTTGAGAAGATAAACTCAAGGATGAAGTTGTTCCTACGATCGTCAAGTTTTTGCTCCATTATAATATGAGGGGTTCAATTTCGAAAATTCTTAGAGGGGTTCGTTGGGCCAGTAAAATAAAAATTCCCACCCATTTGCATATTGGGCCAACTTTTAGAGTTTGGGTTGAACTTTTGTAATTAACCCTTTAAAGCCCAAATAATCTTATAACAAATTTCATACGAGTACTAGTTGTCATACGAAGTATAATGTTACACACTAATACATTACTCTCTCGCTCTTTATAATGATGTTTTTGTTTACATAAATCAATACAAGTTTTTGTAAATCTTTGACCGCAAATATCTCTAATTTCACATTAGTAATAATTAAATTAGATTTTAATAATGTATTCACTAAGACGAATCAAATTAGACCCATATAACTATATATGTTCTTGTAGATTGAGAGAAATTTAAAAGATTCTCATATTTAAAAGTCAAAAAATTCTAAATGAGAACATTATTGAAAAATGGAGAGAGTACCATTTTAATGTATTGATTTTCCTAATGTTAAGGAGAAGTACACCCTCAATCTCATCTTACTTACCTCATACACATAGTCATTTATTCAAGATTTTACAAGAAAATAGAGATAAATAAGAAGAGTGTGAGTAGGTTGTAGGATCCAAATTAACATGAAAAGTTGAAACTGAAGGTTTTCCAAAAAAAAAAAAAAAAAAAAAAAAAAAAAAAAAAAAAAAAAAAAAAGGGGCGAATCCGCGAATAAATTCAGACATCCAAAAGTAAAGAGGAGAGAATCATTATGCATATAAAATAATGTTGCAATTTAAGTAGATGGTTATAACAAATATTTAGAATGAAGAATGAGGGTGGTTTAGTTCAGACAAAGAGGCATTTCATTCGTCAAATAATATTACTATCAAATTAATCAATCAAAGTTTTAATTATATTACTATTAAAGAGGGCGAAAAAATTATTGTTTTTTTTATCTAAACAATAAGGGCAACTAAATTAAATCGCCCTCTCTAATCACTTATCTGAACAATATGTAATCAAATCCCAACTACATCTCTAGAAAATAATAAAAGATTGTACTACATATTAGTCTTATAACTACGTAAACAACTTCCCTAAACGTGTTTAACTGGTAGTTCTAGTAACTAATAAAAAGCTTCGTGTATCATATTGGTTGTTGAAGAGGTGACCAGCGTGGTGAAAATATGGCCAAGAAAGTGACCCGGAAAATTCAAGGTAAAGCTCAAAAAGGCTGAAATTAAAACAAGTCCATTGACATAATTGGGTCATCACTTAATGCTTGTTTGACAAGTCCCTGGACGTCTTTGTTAAGGAACCTACTAATACGGTCTTATACGTGTATTACGTCCACTCATAATTTTGTTCGGCTAGTAAGATGAGCAGCTCTATCAGATCGAATACTTGTATTACATTCGCTCAATCACTCATATTTTTATTCGGCAGGTAAGATGAGCAGCTCTAATGGATCGAAATCTCTTAAAGATCAACTACACAAATCAATTTCGTGGGTTAAACACTTTAAAAATCGAAAGTAAGGGGAAAGGATAAGAGATTAGAAATCTTCACCCTCAAGGTTAGAAGTGTCAAAGTTGCCCCTGGCCTAAATAAATTAAATCTTCACCCTCAAGGTTAGAAGTGTCAATCCTTACCACTATGCCAAGCTTTGCTTGGTATTACGTCTACTTATCTGATCAATTTAACTTGTATTACGTCCACTCAGATGACCAATTTAAATTGCTTACGAATACTCTTGACTCTAACTTGTATTTGTATTTTAGTACCTTTCTAGGTCATAAATTTGGTTATACACTTATACATTATACCAGTATGTACATAGCAAGTAAATTATGACTTCCCTGTGAAATTTTGGTAGTATTTGAATTTTCATGGAAGGTTTTTTACAAACTTAAATTAGTCTCATTTATCTCCTTAAAGTTTTCTTTCTTTCTAAAAATAAAAATAAATAAATAAATCTCTTTAAAGTTTAAACTGGTGTGCTTGTTCCTGTTTTTTGTTATGGAGTTTTATTTTTTCAAGGCATTTAAATTTACGAGTTCCATTTATTTTTAAGAAATTTTTTGTCTGTATTTTGTTTTTTTTTTTAGTTGGACCTCATACTAATTAAACTTTTTTTTCTCACAACTTTTTCACTTGTAAAAATGTAATTTAGAGCAAAAATTATTCCTCCGTTCTACAATATACATTGCTTCACCAAGCAACTTTGAAGTCAAATTTCGACTCTCGCCATCTACTTGTATTTGAGAGTGGGGATTTTTGTACCTTTTCACCTATTCTCAAGTATTGACATGTGTAGAAAGATTGATAGATGTGTGAGAGATATCAATCATCAGTAAGGTTTTAGGCCTCTTTTAAGAGATACGTAAAAACTTACATTGTAAAATGCGTAGATTTTTGTAAGAATTTTTGACATGTTTTCTTTATCACGTGTGTCAACGTACAAGTTTTATCATTAATATCTCTAATTATCAACCCACATAAAAAAGTTCAAGTAACTATTATAAATAGTATGTGTGCAAACATGTATACCCTAAACTCTTGATACTAGTAAACATTATCAAAACGTGTTAACTTAATAAGAACATATATAGAAATTAAGCACTCTTTTTCATGTTAGGTTTGTTTATTTTAATTTTAATTTTTTATTTTTACAAGCTTAGTATTTTTTTAAAAAGGAAGAAAGTGAAAATTATACTCTCACATACATGTACTAATAAAAAAAACAACTAATTAGAATAAATAAAATTATACTCATAATAATTAATTAACACACTCTTTACACCATGGAACACTTTTTACAGTCAAATTTTAACATCTTTAACATGACTCTAAAACCAATAGTCCCATCTTTTACAATTGAAATAATCACCAATCATAATCAAAGAAATAATTACTAATAATGTTAATTTAATGTGCAAATAGTAATCCCAAACTATACAATAATTCCTCATACAATCAATCATACATACCTCCCACCCCTAACTTCATTCTCCTACACATCTCATTCTCCTCACCCCTTTTCTCACGCTTCTAGATTACATTCAAACTTTCAAATCATTCTCTCTTTTTACCCAAAAAATTCAATAAAAATAAAATCTTTTCTCACCTCCCTTTAAATTCACTCCATACCTTTAATTTTTTTTTTCCAAATTAAAAAGTATACATTTATATCCATTTCTCCCCACTACAAATAACATTTTCCCTCCCTTCTTTATTCCACTCTTCTAAAAAAAAAACACCCAAAAAAATGCAAAACACCATAATTCCTCCCTATTTCTCAAAACCAACAATAGAGGAAGAACAAAATGAAGAATCTCAAAAACTATTACACTACCACAACAATGAGACCGATGATCCATATCATCAAGTAGACATTCTCTCCCTCCGTGATCTCCCTATCACCGCCATCGATTCTTCATCACCACATTTACAACACAACACAACCACGGCCGCCACTATCAACCACAGTCGTCATTCCTCCACCTCCGACCCTACCTCCGACTTCTTCTTCGAGTTCCTCATCAACAATGACGATGACCTCATCACCTCCACCGGTGATGACGTCATCTTCCACGGTCGTCTCCTTCCTTACACTCCTCCTCCTAGACCTCGGCGCTCTCTTTCTCTCTCCTCTGCCGCGGCTCGCTTGACTCGTCCTCATCAGCTTAATGAGTCGTCGTCTTCATCATTATCACCCCCTAAAGCGTTACCTAGTATTCGGCCTAGCCGGTCTCTTAACTACCGGAAACTACGTCGGAATCGGTCTAACACGAAGCCGAAAAATGAAACAATGAATAGAACTTCGTGTAATGGTAACACTCGGTTTAACTCGGATAAAAGTCCGGCGAAGTTGCCGTGGTATTGGGCGTTGGTTTTCGGCTTACCGAAGATTCCGGCGGAAATGGAGCTCAAAGACATAAAAAACCGGCAGTTTCGCCGGAATTCTACTCCGCCGCCACCGCCGTCGTCGAGCTTTTTTTCCGGTGACCGGAGTTGCTCCTCTGCTTCTTGGAAACTTCTTAATGTTTTGAGTTGTAAAAGCCATGTCACGGTTGACGTGTCCAACACGGCACCTTTTCGTAATTCCTTATTTTGAAAGTTTGTCATCACCTCACTTGAGTCACCTCATATCAAATCCCGTCTATATCATTGTCATCTACGACCGAATATTAAAAAAAAAAAGCAGAGAGATGAGGTTAAATTGAGAAAGAGGCATGAAGAGAAAGAATGATGCAAGTGTTTGAGAGTTAGAAGCGTAAGGGAGAAGAGATGTAGTGTATAGTAGTGGTTATTAGTGGAAGATCATGCTAAATTTTAGGCAATTATTATGTGCCCCCTTCTATATTTGTCATCACTTGTTCAAAAGAAGTTTTTTCTTTTTTTTTTTTTTTTTTTTTTTTTGATGATGTATTTGTTGATTATGAGAGTTTAGTTACAAGTTTAATCTATTCATTATTAATTACGTAGTATAGTACTTATTAATTATAACTTGCATAACCCTTCAAAGAAAATAATTATTACTTGTATAATGTAAGGAGCTAAGACAGATGTAAGAATATGATGAGTAATTTTAGCTCAATTAAAAGAAGGTAGTATAATTCTTCTACATAATGTAGACCAAATTTCATTATTTTTTTGTTTGGTGAAAACCAAATCTCATCTATTTATAGTAGTACTATGTAATTTAGTTTCTTACAAAAGAGTGCTCTCCTTCTATGAGAATAAATGACTAAAGACTTGTGGTCCTATAAAACAACTTTACATTATGAGGTTGAAGAAGACATAAATTAAAGCTATGTTAATTGTAACAATTTTCCAAAAGTAATAAGATAGAGGAAATTAAAGGAGTGAGTTTGGTTTTAGTTGCCTTCCTCGCTTTATTTCTGTTCCAAAAAGAACAAAATTCACTATACATTTCATCGTATTCAAGTTGAAAAATGTAAGTTTTTAAAAAGATCATTTTAATTTCAAGTCTAAGATTTAATAAAAGTATTAGGTCGAGAATTCCCTACACTTCTTGTGAGTATTACACCTTTTCATATTTTTTACCTTCACAAGAATACTGTTTTACAGAATTACAAGACCGTGCCTATACGCGTATATACATGCTAGTATTTTCTATTTTCAAAAGTTCTACAAAATAACGGGAAGACCGTAAGAGTACGAATTCAAAGTTTATGTTGGAACCCTAAAAGACTCTATACGAAGTTTATATTTTTGGTAATATGCATGTAAAACGACATAGGATTGAATGAATATCAAGATATCACGGGTGATGCGTTGGTTGACATTATGGCATCTGCTACGAGCCAATTACTACTCCCACTTTAATTGCACTCTTTCTTCTTCTTTTTTTTTTTTTTTCTTTTCTTTTTTTCTTTTTTTCTCTCTTTTTATGAATTTTTCTTTTTAAAGGCATCATATATAAATATGATATTAACATATTGCATACGTCCTTCTCATTCCAACTATACATTTTTCGCCAAATATTACAAGTTTTTTTTAGCAAATAGAAATTTTTTGGTGCTACAATATACCTTCCCTTAGCCCCAAATACATCCAGAATCTTCCAAATTCAGTGGAAAATAAAGAAAAAGTGAAGGCATAGATTATTGAATACGTATGTTTTTAAATTGGTTAATGCGTAAATTAGTGGGATGTTTTTTCTTTGGGAGATTTTATTTTTAGTCTTGATGTTTTATGTTCTTTGGGAGTTTGATTGACGTAATTGTTTAGACATTTGTACAAGTCCATAGTGAATTAATATTAAAGGTATGTCGAACCCTACTTACACAACGAGGATTGAGCTGACTTAAGCTAGGGTTGATTTAGCTAGTTTTCGAGGAAGAAAGGTCGGACCCGAATTAAGCATAACTCACCCAAACCAGCCCGATCAATGGGGTAGTAGACTGTGGGTAGAGGTGTCCACCGTGCGAGTCGTGCGAGCTGGGTTAGGGTTAGGTGGGTCGCGGGTTGGGGTTTCATGACACACGGCACGACACACGTAGGGTAGGGTGGGCCGGGTCGTGGGTTGGGTCGGAGAAGTTGGACACACCAGGGTTAGGTTCGTGGGTTAGACGAGTCGTGGGTGGGTCGAGCTGGGTTTGTGGGTTAGACGGATCGTGGGTGGGTCGAGCTGGGTTTGTGGGTTAGACGGGTCATGGGTGGGTCGAGCTAGGTTCGTGGGTTAGACGGGTCAAGGTGGGTTAGTGAGTTAGGGTGGGTCGAAGGGTGGGTTAGTGGGTTAGGGTCGGGTGGGTTTGTGGGTTAGGTGGGTTAGGGTCGGGTGGGTTAGTGGGTTAGGGTCGGGTGGGTTTGTGGGTTAGGTGGGTTAGGGTCGGGTGGGTTTGTGGGTTAGGGTCGGGTGGGTTCGTGGGTTAGGGTCGGGTGGGTTGTGTGGTGTTTTAATTTTTACAAAATTAACAATTTGATGGCTTGCTCTTAATTAAGATGCCTACGTATCCTTATATTATAAAATAAGGAATCAAAGCTAGCGTAGTTCTTATATTGTACTTCTTTTGAAATTTGGGGGGGGGGGGGCTTGGACCTATCTTTAGAAAACTAAAATTTAATTTTGCAATTAAATTGTAATTTTCGAAAAATAAGTTGCCTACGTATCCCGAAAGAATCAAAGCCCACGTAGTTCTTAGCGTACCTGATTTAGACTTTTCTAGCCACCCATGTTTGTTGCATCATCATCCCCGGAAGCTGCATCATCCGTTGACGACTCCAATATCATCACAGGATCATCTTCATCGTCTTCGTCTTCCTTTAAACCTTGAGTTCTTCTTTCAGCTTGATCCCAATCTTTCTTACAAACACAAATTTGAATGCTTTCCGGAGTTAAGCGAGATCTTTTTTCATCTAACACTCTTCTACCTGCACTAAAAGCAGACTCGGAAGCAACAGATGAAGCGGGAACTGCAAGTATATCTTTTGCAATTCTCGCCAATATAGGAAAACTTTTTTTATGTTCTTGCCACCATTTTATAATTTGAAAGTTGTTGTTGGTCTCATGTTGATATGACAAATAATCATTAATAGCAAGTGTTGAAGAAGATGATGATGAGAATGATGTAGATGCTTTGTGTTTTTTTTTCATAACTTTATCAAGAAAACCAAATCTAGAATCGGAAGTGCTAGTAGTAGTTGGTGTTGCCAAATCAAAACCATAAAATAGATGCATAATGATCATAAAGGTCTCCCAAAACAGATTTGCATTTGTTAATATATTCACTAACATCATAATCGATACTTAAACTTGTATAATAAAATTCTAAAAGATTTTCCAAACCTTCAGCTTTGACACCGGGGTCAAGAATAGCAGCAATTCCATAAATGATTGGAAATTCACTAAAATAAGTATGCCACTTACGTTTCATGCTATCAAGAACGGGACGAAGTCCATCAATCTTCATATGCTCTTCGATGGTGTGAACAACTTTAACACACTCAATTATGACTAAATGAACGTTAGGCTCATAAATATAAGAGAAAATATGAGTTGCACTATCAAAAGCATTTAAAACATCACGAACAAAAGAAGCATTAGTCCAATGACTTTCGGTTATTAACTCAGTAGGATCAACACGAGTCTCATTGTAAAGTTGGGTCAAAATATCACGATACTTTATAGCATCACTCAACAACTTGAAAGTAGAATTCCAACGGGTAGGGGTATCAATAGACCATTGTCTTTTCTTAAGACCTCTCTCTTTACACATAGCTATGTACTTTCTTCTAACTGACTGAGTAATCCTAATCCATTTTATAACTGTTCTAATTGGGTTTAGCAATGGTTGCAACTCAGCGAGACCCTCTTGAACAGACAAATTCAAAATATGAGCACAACATCTAACATGCAAGAGACTACCACCCAACAACAAATTCAACTCGGAGTCATTTTTCAAATAGTCAATACACTTTGTGTTTGCAGTTGCATTATCAAGAGACAAAGAAAAAATTTTATTATTCAAGTGAAATTCTTTTAAACAATCCAAAATACGAACTTTGATGTTAAAACCGGTATGCCTTTCTTCCATAGCTTGAAAACATAGTATACGTTTTTGAATAAACCAATCATCATCCACCCAATGAGCAGTAATGCAAAGAAAAGGTTCGCCAAAACTAGAAGTCCATGTATCACTTGTAAAACTAACACGACCATCAAAAGTAGGAAATAATTCAATCAAACCACTCCTATACTTATAATAAGAAGTTTGTGTATAACGTCTTAGGGTATTTCGGGGGACACGAGTAAATGCAGGTTGTAATGCAACTTTATTAAAATGCTCAACGTTTGCATTTTCACCGTAACTAAAAGGGTATTCATTAGCAATAACTAAAGTACTCATTTCATCAATCATTCTATCTTTATTATAAATGAAAGGTGTACCTCCGCCGGGTTGGTTCATGTATCCACCCAATTGTGTTTGGACGCCACCCCCCGAAGGACGGGGGCCATTTTCGAACAAGTCGTGTTTATTTTGCAAATGTCGACTCAAGGTTCCGGTTCCATCTCCCGTTTTCCAACTATATGACTTGACATTTGCACCTAGCGCCTTGCAAACTAGGCATGTACACGTGAACCTCTTTGGTTGACCAGGTTGCCATCCCGGGGGTGTGACCTCAACTCGTTCAAAATGTTTCCACACCCAAGAAAAATGTGCTCGACCTCTACTTTCACCGCCACCACCTTTCATAAATCAAATTATTAAAATTAATTTTTAAATGCTATTCATGAAAATAAGCTTTTAAATTTTAAATATTTTAATTATACTTATTTAAACGCATTTTTCATGGTAATTAACTAATTGTAAATCATAGAAAATTGGAAACTAAACTAACTTTATAATCATTAATAATAGTTTTTTTAAATATTCATAACAATAAAAATTTAATTAGAAATTACCTTGAGATGAAGGTTGAGATGTTGGTTGCGATGGAGGTGGCATAGTTGAACTTGATGATTGGTGGGACTCGTGGGAGAAATGTTGTGGTGGAGACGTTTGAATATTTTGCCTATCTCCTAAACCATAATCTCCATATTCATTGACAAATTGGTTTAAATTTTCCGTATTAATTTCATACGAAAAATTTGCACCACCACTCCTTTGGCTACCACTTCGACCACCACTTTGACTCCTTCCCATTCCTCCTCTTGAGCTCATTTTTTTTTTGTATGATTACTAATTATAATATGGAGAAGAACTTTTTTTTTTTAGAATCTTAAGAATACTAATAATAATATTAAGGAGATTTTTTTTAACAAAAATATAACTCTATATAACACTTGAGAATTTGAGAACAATAAGAATTTTTAAGTAAGAGAGAAAGAAAGCTTGAATTTGTGTGGAAATTTGAGTGAAATGGAATTGGTATTTATAGGAAAAATAGAATGGATGATCATACACTTAAAAAACTAGTCGTTAGATACAAAAAAACTAGCCGTTAGATACAAAAAACTAGCCGTTTTTTTTTAAAATGGATGTTAGGCCGTGCGGGCCGTGCGGGCCGTGCGGGTCGTGCGAATTGTGCGGGCCGTGCGGGTTGTGCGGGCCGTGCGGGTTGTGCCGGCCGTGCGGGTTGGGTGGGTCATGCGTGCGGGTTGGGTGGGTCATGCGTGCGGGTTAGGTGGGTTGGCTCGTGCGGGTTGGGTGGGTCATTCGTGCGGGTGGGCCGTGCGGGCTGGGTTGTGCCAGGTGGGTCGGGTTAGGTGGGTTCACGGGCTAGGTGTGTCGAATTAAATGAGTCAAAACGGGTTGTGCGATTTGGGTCGAATCAAACGGGTTAAACTGAGCTGGGTTGAAATGGGTTGTGTCGAAAATTTTGGACCCACGACACAACCCGGATTAAATCCGAGCTGTGCCGGGCTGTGCCAGATTGAAACCGGGTCGGACCCACGTGACCCACCAGCCGTGCGAGTTAGGGTGGGCTGGGTCCAACCCGGCCCACTGGCCACCTCTAACTGTGGGTGAAATTATGGTCCATAACCCACTCTCCAACATAGGTAAACCCACCATGAACCCGATCCGCCAAACCTGTGGTGGCTGTGGACCACCCTAAACCTGCTTCTGAAGTATTACACTACTAAGTACGATTTTTTCTAGTTAAAATAACTAAAACCCATCTAAAATTTGTTAACTGGCCAGACAACACAGCACACGACCCGATCAACCCACAACCCAACCCAATTTGGATTAGTCCATGAACAGCCCGACCTGATTCAGTCCTGTGTCACCCTTGCCCAATTTACTCGCCTTTAAATGGCTCAGTAGCCAACTGTGGGTGGATCTAGTAAAACTCAAACCAATCCAATAACCTAGCCTGAAATACACCTTATACTGGTGAGTTAGGATTCAAAAATACCAACTGTTAAGGTAAATGCTTGCACTTTATACCCTGCCCTCCTACCCTAAGCTACAATAAAGACAACCAGTCTCACATAGGAGATACAAGGCTACCGCCTGCAACTCTGCGATCTGCAACATAATATAAATTATTTTCACAGCTGATTCCAGAGTTCTGGACCCCTTCTCACTACTTACAATAATGAAATCGTCGAAAATACATAATTTCTCACCGTGATAAAAGCTCTAGAAGAATGACAATGAATCTGGAAAATGTAAAGAAAAGGAGTAAATGTTCATCTATCAAAAAAAATTTCACAAGACAGCTGATAATTCTGCAATGTAACATTAGCATAAGTTCGTAACCATTTGAAAGATGAGATTTATCCTCTCATTAATTGTGCCAATACATCATATAAGTCTTGCTAAAAGCACCACCTCGGATCATTTCACTGATAGTGTTCATATGAGTATACGACATTATCTATGCTCTAAAATGAAACTTTCCAGATCACATGCAGAAGCTCAGAAACAAACAGGTAATAGCATCAAATTTAACCACTAGGAGTCCAGGATCATCTACCACTTGCAATGTACATGCAACTCCGGCAACCTAAAGCTCAGATTCCGACAAAAGTAATGGCATCTTGACAAATTAACCACCAGAATCATTTACCATTTGCAAAGCACATATGCAACATAAACAATTTGTGTTCGATTGATTAGCATTATGCCATGCTGCTGCCACCATTAGTACTCCCTAATACCCCTAGAATAAACCAAAACTTCTTCCATCCCTAACTAATAGTTTACTTTCTAAATTTAGTCAGTTAAACTTTGTACTCTAATTTTCTTGGCAAGGTAAATTTCATTACTGCCCTCAAGCAAGGTCCCTAATATAACTTATCCCAAAACTCCCTTGACGAGGTTTGATCCATGGCCAATGTTATGGGAGATGAGGTAAGAGGGTGAGCCAACTCAGCTACCCTTTAGACCTAGAACAGCTATAGCACAGAAACTGCCATACAGACCACAAGTTAGCTGAATGTGGGAACAAGGTAACCTAATGACCTCATCACACAACTACATAAAAGGAGTTCTACATAAAGAGAAGTTTCCATGGAAGAGTTGTTAACTAAAACACTCAAACTGCTTCGTCACCTCAAACTCGATTAATCTTTGAAAGTCAGCATCTAACAGAAATTTGTTTTTTGTATACAGAGCTTTGAATGGCATGATCAGCCCCTTGTAGGCTTGTAACACTAACTAGTGCCTGTTCTGAGTTTCTTACGGTTCGACCAAAGTAGTACCCACCCTCCCTCCTTCCCCTAATATTTTATCAAGACTCCTTTCTTTCCTATCTTGCTTCAACATATTTTCTCTTCTTAAGAGCAATACCCTCCAACATTTCTCATGTTGATTGCTCTTCATATCAAATTATCAACCAGAAATAAACAGTGTACTTGAAGATGATTGAGAGATTGATCACAGAATCATACAGTATATCAACTTAGTCAAAAAAGTATATTCAATATGTAACCTTTCAGTTCGCGACACAAAATATAAATAAAAATCTAGGATGCGTAATTTTCACACGTACTTTATATCGACAGGAATAGCCTCATATGGAATTCGGTTATAGAAATAGTTGTTTACCAAGGATTTCAATTGTAGTATGATAGCCCATTATAAAGCTAAAGAAGCACAACTTATGAATTAGACAACCAAAGCAATAGTAAATGTAGCCTTCCAGAATTGGATATTACATGGAACTATGGAAGATACATCACAAAGCATGAAATTGACAAGATTGTAGTCGTGAACAACAAAAACCCAAAGTATGTCAAGGACAAATTTTAAAGTTGGGAAGTATCTACCATTCTGTGATCTCTACCTTTCATTATGACTTAAGAGCAACAGATTGTACATAACATTTCTTCACTAGCTCATTTACTTTCAAATGCCATATTTCATTTGTTGTCACATCTCACATGATCCTTGCCAACAATTTGATGTAGCAATGACATAAGTAAAGATACTTAGAAATCCTCAAAAATTAATTTAATGCCAGTTCAAACTATATCAAAAGAAAAAATCTTGAAGCTGATTTGCAACAGAATTGAAAATATAATCAACTCAGCTCTATTTCAACAGTTCAGAAAAAAAATATGTTTGGTAAATATAATGTACAATTTCACTCGCCAATGAATTCTATGATAAGTGCCATCAATAACAAAAGAAATAAATCGAAGGCAAAAAAGAATTATAACAAGAAAAGATCGCAGCCGCAAGAACAGACATGCCTTCCACACCAGATAAAATATACCAAATCAAAAGCTACATGCTCACTACTTCAGGCAAATGATACAAAACCTTATACAAGAATAACCATTCATAAAAAGAATCGAGAAGATACAATCTACAGGCAGTGAGAATGGTACCAGGTCAAAATGGTCAATTGCAGATGTAAGTCCCGCTTTCAACTTTGTGATCTACCACGTAAAAGTCTGTTGTAGCTTCAGAAGCAGGCCAAAGTGAAACACCAGAGAGCGTTTTAGCCCCTTTGACCGAAAACTTTACATGACATACAACGTCAATTTCTTCTTCAGTATCCTCTTCATTTATATCAACAGGCATCCGCGCCCTAAGCTTCCCAGGAGCACCCTTTAATGGGATCTCTTGTATATGCCATTTCAACTCCCTCTCATTCCTATTCAAGACAGCCTTAGGAGAGACGTTCAGTAGTGTAGGATCAACTGGCAGTTTGAGAATAAATGTAACATCTGTGAGTGGTGCCAGCAAATCAGGGTTCGAAATGTATTGAATCATGACAGAGAGTAAGGTCCCAACATGGCGTTTCACGAGCCTAACACGCAAAGGAATGGGGGTCATCTGGGGCATCAAACTGTACTTCAGAACAGGTAAAGGCTCTTCAGAGGCTGCCGTTCTTACATGAAACATCCCATTGCCAAGGCTGCTAACACGAGAGCTCTGCATAACAGTTCTTTTAACAGAAGTTGTACCATCAATCTTAAATGAGAACTCTGTTTCTTTATCACCCGTCATCTTTGGAGGCAATGTTCTCAAATAAATCACACCCATTAATCCCACTCTAGAAAGCAATGACTCCCTGAATTCCGCACTGATCTCCTCAACAATGAACATCTCAGGGCCCTTCATCTCTGACTTCTGCACCAAGAGATTTTCAAGAGGTGTGGCAGCTGCACCACTGGCAGCAACAGGAGCCCCATCAGGCCCTGTCTGTAACAACTCAAGTCCACCAAGACCCTCCCTCTTCGCAGCTTTAGTAGTGCCTACAAACTCTGACGCATCCAGCCCACCACCAAATGCATCACTAAACCCTTCAAACGTCTCTCGAAGTGATGCCTCCTCATTTCCAAACTCAATCCCACCATAATCCCCTTCAAACCCTTCCACAGCAATGTGGGTAGGCTGAGCAGCCTCAGCAGGAGGCAACGGAGTCACCTCCAGCCCCACCAATGCCTTAGTCATATCCGAAGCCACATCCTTATCCTTCTTAAAATCCCCAACCAACGACTCTGGCTTATTAATCGAATCACTAGCAGCAAACGGATCCTTCACCCCCTGTTCCTCCTCAATCTTCACCCCACCATCCTGCTCCCCTAACCCCGCTTGCCCCACAACAGAAATACTCGCCCCCACCTCATCCCCTGCCGTTAAAGTCTCACTAGGCAACTCAAACCTCATATTCGAAAACGACTCCACCCCCGCCTCATGCTCCACGGCCAAACTCTCCGCTACCCCAACCCAATTATCAGCCCCTCTAACCTTATTCTCAGTATCAACAGCAGAATGCACCATCTTAGCAATACTCTCACCGTGCATCGACGCTAACATCGCCGCCAACCTAATATTACTAACACCCCTCAAAACAATATCCAATGCCATATAAATCTCAGCATATTTCTTCCCTAATTTCTCTGGGGTCACATCAACCCCTCTACAAGCAGTAACAACAACACTAACAGCTTGATTAACAATACTAATACACTCAAAAACATTATTAGTAGTAGTACTATTATCATCATCATCATCAACAGTTGTAACACCCAGAACATAAATTGAATTCACCAAACGATAAACAACACGATATCGAGATTCAACCCCAACAATTACCTGACCACTGTAAGCAGCAAGTGGGTCATCGCCAACAATGGTGGGGTCGCCGGAAACGTCGTCGTTTTGGTGTTTAGAGGAGAGAGAAGCGGCAGCGGCTGCAGCGGAGGAGAAGACGAGACGGGTGTTTCGGAAGGCGGAAACGGCGACGAGAGCTCGAGCTGGGGGAAACCATTCTCGGGTTTGGAGGAGGATGTCGGGCCCATTGACGGGTTGGAGAGAGAGAGCTAAGCAGGACATTGAATATCTGGATCTAATCGATCAGAAAAATGGTGATTGAACTGGAATTTTGGGGTTGATCAATTGAATTTTGGGAGGAGAGAGAAATTGAATGAGAGTCGAAAGAGAGGTTTTGGGGGTTGATTTCGATCTGATCTATCGTTCTTTCTTTTTTCTTTTCCTGTGTTTATTTTTTTGTTTTTGTTTTGTTTTTTTTTTTGGAATTTTTTTAAAGAAAAAATTAACAAATGATTTAGGCTTGGTAATTATTGTTTGATTGATTAATTAACATACTTAGGTGTCAATTCGGATTATTGGGTTGGGTTAGATAGGATATATAATACGAGTCATAAGAAGAAATCTAGATTATGTTTCTTTTAGGTCGGGTCAATTTTTTACACTTGATCCTCGGCTAATATTAGTGATGATATTTGTTTTCTATTGCAAAAGAAATGTCATGTTCATATAAACTACTCCACAATGATTACCAAGCCTAAATCAATCCACATTAACAATTATTGTTAATTTGCTAAGGGCTTGTTTGACATCATTTTTTGTTTTCAGTTTTCTGTTTTTTTTAAACTAAAAACCAAATACATGAAACAAGAAAAAGGTGTTTTCACTTTTTTGTTGTCAGTTTTTAAAATTATCATGATTTTAATAAGTCTAAATAATTTTTGATTCATTATGTGACATATATAATTTACTTTTAAAAACCAAAAAACAGAAAACCAAACGGTTGAACGTATCACACTGATTTTTTATTATCTTAATAAGAAGTGTTACTTATAAATGTTAGTATGTCACAACATGGTACACATCTATACTTCTATATTTTAGTATTTAAAAACACAAACCACACATTACTTATATGCCACATGTCACCACAAATCACTCATATGCCACATACCACCTCCTTTATCAAAAAATAAAGTTTATGTCTTTATGCATTCTGTAACTTGCAAATTTAAGTAAGGAAATTAAGTGTTTCAACTACACCAAAACAAAGTCGTAGTCTTTTCATCTACTAAACTTAAAATAAAGTAATAGTAAAAAAAAAGTTGAGCTTATTAGTCCACATTATATAAACATATATATAAAGTACAATAAAATAATAATGTTGACTCATATAACACAAATAAGCAACACATTACAAGAAAAATATTTAAGTAATAACCCGTGCATGGAACGGGCCAGAAGGCTAGTTACTTTTGAATAGCCTACCAAGGGTGGACATCGTCCTTATTGTTGCAAATAAATAAAGTATGTGCTTTAAGTAGCCATTATTGCCACTTGTTACCTATTTGAGACGTTGAACACAAAGGAGAGATAAAGGAATATGTAGGGGTTTATGTGCTTCGAGTTGAAGAGTCTCTTAATGATTTTGTTGCTGCTTATAAATACTTTAATATGTTGTTTTGGAATTACATAAGATTACTAAGCGTGTAAACATGATATAAGTCGCCAAAGGGTGCAAATATATTGATAGTGTGAGGTGTTTGCTCATTCAGTTTAAGTCAAGGTGGCAATGTGTTTTGCCACAAGTTTGCAAAATTTGGTTGTTTTTAATGAAATAATACCTTTAAAATACCAGGTGTGCTTTCGGACAAGGGAGAGGAAAAGTGGAAGTGGAGGGGAGGGTTTGGTCTCGCAGGGGAAGGAGAAAATTGAAGGTAGGACAATGTTGCAAAGGTAGAGAAAATACATGGGAATTGGGATAAACTTGTAATATTTATCTGAAGGTAGATTTGGCAATAACATCACTTTGGTAAATTTGTCGAAAATTTCATCACATTCATAGTTAACTCCGTCACGACTTCAAACTCCTGTATCTCTCCTCTGTCACTTAAATTTCTGAAAACCACTAATGGAGACATGGTCAATTGCAATGGAAAAACGAAGTGACGACAAATCCCCCCATTGAGGTTAATCATGCCCTTCGTTTCTCCAATGTTCTTAGGGTTTAAGTTTATTTCGGTAGCAAAGTCGCAACCTTGGTGAATTTGGTGATTCATGAACTTTGTCAATAGTGAGGAAACCTCAAAGTCCTTCAATGGAGGAGGGACTTAACGACATTAAATTTTTAGTCTACTTTATTACAAACCGGCATCACAAAATGATAGGAAAATGTGTTTTTTATGAGTTCCACCATTCTCAACACCAATTTATGCAATTGCCATTAGATAAACACCCCCATGTTTATCCTCGAGATAAATCGAGGCACCCCTGATTGTATGGTGGAAGGTTAGGTTCAGAAAAAACAATGTTGGTAACCAAGTGTTGTGGTTGACGATGGGTAAGTATAGTACTTGCGTAGCAGTAGTACGAGAATTCTCAATTTGAATCATATCCTATCACTCCCATGTATGAAAAACTAAATAACACGATATATTTTTTTTTTTATAATTTTAAAAAGATTTATAAAGCTCAAACTTAATAGTCTTATATACATATATATGTGATTAAACTATATTCAACAAAACAAATCTGTTATATTATTAGAGTTACAGAAGACTCAACTTAATAGAGCCTGAGAATTCCTCGTACATACATCAAAAGAAATATTGATTTAAAACAAAAAATAGAGTTGTATCTGATTAATTACAGACTCGATCTTTTATTACATCAATCTATAATACCCTTTTGACCCATTTGGAAAAAAAAATAAAAAAAATTTGATCAAACAAAGTTTATTCTCATTTGATTTGTTTTGAACTTTGAAGGCAATTAAGGGAGTACACATGTAGTTGGGTTGGGTGGGGGGGTTGATGGGAAGAAAGCAGTCAGGGCAGTCACGTGAATACGTTAACAACAACAACAACGGTTAATAATCTGACTGATAGCTGATTATTCTGATTTACGAATAAAACGTGGAATGTCATCTTCCCTAATTAACTCCCCCTTCACTCCCATTACTAATAATTAAAAACCCCCTTTTTTCAAATACTAAATCATCTCTTTCCTCTTCACTTTTTAAACTTTTTTTTTTCCTCCAAAATTAAATTCTCATTTTCAAACTCACTCACTCTCTCTCTTCTCTCTCTTTGTCTCTTCCTTCAAAGATCTATCTATCTATCATCCCTAAAAAACAATTTACAGACATTTTCTCTCTCCTCTTCTCTCTCTCTCTCCATTGTCGTCTTCCTCCATTGAACCTGTCAACACCACTATATAATGCCGTCTTCTGACACTGACTCCGCCTTTCCTGTACGTGCTTTCTCTCTCCTCTCACTCTTTCTCTCTCTAAACTCTCTCTTTTTTTTTTGTTGATTTTTTCAGTCGTCTCCTTCCTCGGGATTCGTAATGAGGTCAGTTTCATCAATTTCTATCTATATTTGAACTCAACTTAGGGTTTTCAATTTTTGTGAATTTTTTTGTTGATTTTTTTGTGTGGTGATAGTAGCAGTGAGATGAGTTTTGCGGATGTGAACAATTTGGAGCATTGTATTAAGTATTTGAATCAGACGCTTGTTACATTCGGATTTTCGGCTTCGCTTGATCTGTTTGCTAATGATCCAGTACAGTACATTTCCTCTTTTGTGTGTTTTGTGTTCAATTTCTGTAATGTGAGTTGATTTTTTGATTGGATTGGTGTTGTATTCTGTTGTGATGATTCGGCAGGTTTCGGTGGCTCGTACTTGTAATTGTATGTACTCTTTGTTGCAGCAGAGGCAGCGTGATATCGAGTTCCGAGAATCGGCCAATGAGCAAAGACAGCGGTATGAATTGCTGAATTAGAATGTTTTGTAGCTGGTTTTGGTTTAATTTGATGCTTGATTTTGGTAGTAAATCTTTGGAGATACTCGAAATGATGATCTATTGGATAAGATTTTTAGATTTATTTGTTGTTTTGACTTTTGAATCCGATCATCTTGTGGTCCTATTATCAATTTTAAATGCAATTGTAAGTAGAGTGTGACTGTGATAATGCTGTGCCTTTTGGTTTGTCTCTTGAATGTGTAATTTGCTCTATAATCGACCATTTTCACGTGCTAACTGAAATGAGTTCATATTGAAGTTTCGCTTAGTTGTGATCTATTTAGGATTTTAGGCTGCTTACAATACTTCCATGAAGATGTAGATTTCCTAGGCATTAGGTCGTTTTATTTTGTTTAACTAATGGTAATTGCTATTGTTTGAGCTTCCTTGTCATTTTCATGGTCTTTACCCATCTTTTATGAAAACCTAATACTTCTGTAGTATGTTTTAAGCACAAAAATGACTTCCCTCATTTATTTATATATCATGTTTCTGTAATATTTTGATCTAGAAGTCTCTCCAGTGATATTCATCAGTGTTTACATGGCTGTTTGTTTTAAATATTTACCTAAATGGACCGTGGATTAAATAGGATGTTTGAGGCTGATTCTTCCATGCACGGACATATCCAACTATAAGGTTTGATCCCTGAACAGCTGAACTTCAACCAACCAGCACAAAGCTTAACAAGCTGTCTTGAGTAGCTTTCGAATAGTTTAAATGGCTTTATCTACTTGACTTTGAGCTCACTTGCTTCATTGCAATAGGCATATGAAACAACTGCAAGCTTGGGCTGTGGTGTATTAGAGCACCTATTTTTTTTCTCCCCCATAAACTTATTTATACTTTGTATACATCATGTATGGATTGCACATGTTATGATATGCTGAAACAACAAAGTGAAGCCATGCTTCATGACTGAGACCTTATTATTGGGATGTATGACACCGTCTTTTGCTTCAAATTATTGGGTCTTGCCGTCTTGGTATGCCTAATACAAATTCTTGGCTCTACCTTGTGGGCCTTTCTGCCCTGATAGTTACTATTTCTTTGACCTGTTGAGCTTAACTTATGGAAGAAGTGGCAAGTAAGCAACCAAATTTAGATGTTCTCCAAGTTTTTGTCTTCACCCACGACTCTGCAATGGAACTACTTTATTAAGAATGACATGGAGATGGCTGTAGAATTTCAGTGAAATTATCTTTGTTTCCGCATAACTCTTTATGAGGGAAAGCTACCAGGTTGGCATAAAATTCTTTTCCCTTATTGTTGTAAACAAATCGGCCTGCAAAGGTACCTAAAAAATCGGCTGAGTACATACAGAAGTATGTATCTAGTTGGATTATTAAATGGGGTGCATGTGTTACTGCCTTTGTTTATCTCATTTCCTAGTTTATTTTCTTTAGCCTGTGTTGTGTTTGCACTTTAGATATAGTTTGTGGAGGTTGTTGGTGGCACTAACGGTTGCTGCCAACATATGTTATTCAGACTCATTTTACCTCAAGTATCTGTGTCGGATCCTCAACAATTGGACATGAGTGGGAACTTCAAAGTAGATATGAGCTTTGTTGAGAAGCCGTAAATTGTGGGTTTTCAAAAGGATGCGGCCTTTCCCTTCAAGATCATTGGGAAATTTTTGTTATGTTTATTTTACTCAATTCTAGAGGTTGGGTGGTTCTTGCAGGGAGAAGTGAAGTATTTGGTGTTACATGACATTCATGGCGGTTAAGCAGTTTGCATGGAAGAAGCCATGGATGCTTTAAATCAAGCATAATTATTGATGTAGGGAAGAGAATTTTTGGAGTGGTTTCTGTGACCTGTGGGATTTCATATAGAGGAGTGCCAGGACATATAGGAGCTGTTTTTGTGGTGGCAAAGGGGAATTCTTTGGGTGCAATATTAAAAAAGAGAGAAGAAAAGGAAGGTTTATTTTGGACTGAGAGGGAGATTAATTAAGTGGTACGTAGAGCAATTTTAATCCTTAGATACCAAAGAAGTAGGTAATGTCAAGATTAACTGATGGCAGAGAGGATGCAGAAAGTGGCATTGGGCTTCATGTACACTGCTCTGTCTTGTAAAGAAGAAGTTAAAAAGAGGAGAAGAATATAAAGTAAAACACACATGTCTATATTAGTGAAACCCACTGAGCCTGGTGTTCCCTGTTGTGTTTTTAATTCCTCGAAATGGCCTGTGGATTTTAATCTCGATTTGGGAAAGACCATTATTATATTATATTAATCTGGAATGTTAGCCAAGCCTTTCTAATAAACTTAACTGACAGAATAGGTTATGCTACAAAGCATTGATCTAGGTGATCTTGTACTGACTGTCACATGGCATTGTTTGCAAATGGCGAAAGCTTACTTAGAAAATGGAAACTTTGTTTATAAATTCCTTTTACATGAAGTTGGAATTATTTAAGGATTTTTATTGTTTGACTGATTGTGACTGTAACGCGATATCTGATCATAGTATAGACACATGCTTATCGGTGCTTTTGTGGGTTCTATTGCAGACTTAACTCAGACATATCAAGGTTGGAAGCCAAGATTGAGAGGCTTGAATCGCAGATAGCAACAAAAGATAGGGAGATAGCAACAACTACCCGAACGGTATTGATAGATCTAATTTTTTCATTCACTAACTGCCTTACTGAGGTTCACATTATAGATCTGAAGTATTATACTTTGTACAATGTATATGTTATTAAATGAACAACTGCTTTGGGGGGGGGGATATGAGGAACTTTTTTTTTGATAAAATATAATAGATATTTCTAGACTTACACTTTTTTATAGCTAGGGTGGTGCAATACTAGTAAAGCTGTATGGCTTCAAGAGTGCATATTAATGCGACTTGCTAGCATGTTGGTAGCTTGCTCATATATGATTATGTTAACTGAAGTGATACTCTGCTGCTAAAATTTGCTTGCAATTGTGTTGAATTCTGCTTCCCATATGTTTAGGAAGCCAAGGCAAGAGCTGGATTTAAAGGACAAATTGAGAAGTTGCAGCAGGAGAGAGATGAATTCCAGAAAATGGTTATCGGCAACCAGGTTAGAACCCATTTCTGGCAGGTGGACCCCCCTCCCCGCTTAAATTCAAGCTCTTTTACTGACACAGATTTTTCTTTTTGCCCATCGAAAGCAAGTGAAAACTCAACAACTACATGAAATGAAGAGGAGAGAGAAAGAGTACATAAAATTGCAGGTATGTTTTGCGTCGGAATGAACGGATCTTCATGCTATTATTGCTTTGTTACTTAAATATTTGGGACCTAGAGTTGGGAACACTCAGACAATAACTGACTTTTTCATACTTCCAGGAGAGACTTAACCAAGTTGTGAATGAGAAGAAGAAGGAATCTAGATCTGGCATGGAGATAATGAATTTGCTGCAGGTATGGATAGACAAATTATTGGTGGAATGTTGGTTAGGTTCCCTTATGCTGTCATTATAGATTTAGCTGTTTAGTCTAATTGTCATGGCACTTGTATGCAGAAAGAAGGAAGGCAGCGTGGCACATGGAATGGAAAGAAGACAGACAATGACTTCTATAAAAAGATTGTATGTACAATGATGGATTGTGCAGAGCAGTCTCAGAATTCATTAACTTTCACATGCCGACTTTGGGGAAACAAAAGGGCTTATTTACCCTAAATTATGTATATTTGCAGGTTGATGCTTACGAGGTCAAAAATCAAGAACTGATGCAAGAGAACAACGATTTGAGGGCCTTGTTGAGATCAATGCAGGTAAGTTTCCATCTGTATTGATGTCATTTTCTTCTAAGCATCAGTCTTTATGCATTTTTTTAAAAAATGTTATCCCAGTTCTCTGCTGTTCTAGGTACTTATTTGTTCTTAAATTGATTTACAATGGTTTACACAAAATTAATTTTTTTTTTTTTTTTTTTTTTTTGCTGGATTTGATGATATTTTCAACTGACTAAACTTTGTGAAAATGTGTTGGATTCAAGTTAAATTCCAAGACTTTTAGATAGCCATTGTCAACATGTCACTCTTTTAGGTCCACATTGTTGTAGATGTAATCTCCTTAATATAAAGAAGTTAACTATGGTTAGAAAAATTATAGCTATAGGAAATTATGCTACTTGGAAAGGTGCATGTCAATAAAAAATGGAGTGTCCATCTTCTGAATTCTGATAAGGATGATTACTTCCCTCAACTACTCTAGTATTGATGACAATATACATATATTATTATTCCTGCCGGCAAAGAGAAAAAATAAACCATAATATTCCTTTTCCCTTTTAAGTAATGTAGAAAATTTTGTGGTCTATTCAAACATGTCTGCTTGTGATTTGAGAAATGAATGTTAGAAATTAGCAAAGAGCTAGTAGAAATGCTTCATATAGAAAACTTGGCTTGTCCAAGGGAGAGAAAATCAGATTAGAGGAAGAAACAAGTTTAAGTAAAAAGAGCTCAGTGTTCCCAAATTAACAAGTTAATCAATTTTAAAGATAGTTATTTTTGATTGAATAGCATTGGGAAGCCGTAACATCAGCCTTCATCTATCTTTTCCATTTTGGTGTGTATGCACAGAAAATAATACTTCTATTGAAGTTGATAATGACTTTAAAAATTTGATGATGACAGGAGGATATGCGTGGTTTTTTAAATGCCCCTAATGGTTCAACCAAGCAACCTCCGACCACCAATGAAAAGCATGATAATGATCTTTCACAATCTCCTTTTGGCGGAAAGACGGTATTTCAATTTGTTGAAATTAGAAATTAAAAATAGATGAGTTATTGTTCAGTGTCATTGAAAGTAATTGTTACTTTTGTCCTTGTCTTTGTTGCAGGATGTCTTTGATCTTCCATTCCACATGGGCAGGGGTCAAATTGAGGAAAACCTTCGTGCAAAGATGTCTTCAATAAAGGTTCTTCTGGCATCTCCTCTCTCTTTTCCCATCATCTTGTAGATATATTCTTAGTATTGCCTTGTCTGATATGTTTATAATTGTTGGCTCCCTATTTGATCATTGAAGGAGCGCTTATGTCAGCTACAAGATGCACAAAAAGGAACTGATGTTACTTCTGAAGTTACTGAAAGGGAGCTTGAACTTGAAGCACAACTTGTGGAAGCAAGAAGCATAATTCAAGAGCAGGTACTGTAGCACTCATGTACTCTCTTTCTCGAGTGAGAGATGGGGTGCTGTCGTCTATTAAGTTTTCTTGGCTTCACCTCTTCTTACAAGATGAATTTGTACAATATCTTTTAAATAAAACAAGGTTTTGTCTTTCAAAAAAAAAAAAAAAAAAAAAAAAAGAGAAATAAAAAAACAAGGTTTTGATGTTACCTCCAAAGTGCGCCAGAGTATTTTTCACATAAAACAGTTTCTATATGTGGGTATTAGGGAAGTTTCCTCAGGAATGTGGCGCAGGGCTTTGAAATTTTACACCTAATTGCTTATGAATTTTTCAGTTCATTGTCATAAATTGTTGGTCCATTGTGCTTTATTATATCTCAGTTTACAAAATATTCGTAACCTGTCTATATGATAATATTTGGAGTCAATATATCACCCAGCCTCCCGCCCTTCTTTATTCTCAAATGCTGAATCTATATTGTGTTTGTCCTTGCAGGCATCTATAATGTCCAAACAGCTTAAGTCAGAAAGGCGTAGGTAAGTTAAAAATTAACTCTATCTGCCTGAAGTATATTTGTTGATTGCTTAGTTAACCCAATTTAACGTTACTGATGGCCTATTTTATTTCTGTTTTCAGGGAATCACTTGTATCGACACCAGAGGTAAATTACCTGTAATTGTTCAGGTTTAAACGGTTGGGTAACTGTTGTATTTCCTACTTCTTGGCTGAACTGTTAAATGATTGTTATCAATTTGCCTTCAGCAGTAACCAAAGACAAGCAATTCAGGCTATAGAGTGATCTGATCTGATCGCGTATGTACTACCAGAACTTCTGGGTTAATGAAGAATCATCTAACATAACCGTCGGCTATATTTGCAACCGACTTCCGCTTGACCATGTAAAAGATCTGCGAAGAGGGTGTTGTTCGTGTAGAAACTGTGTAATATATGTTGTTCCATGTGGGCAGAGCCGCAGAGAAACTAATGAATACACTATTCTATTAGTCTATCAATTTAGTGTAGGTTAACATGCTGTTTATATAATGATTTATGTCTAAGGTCTATATTATGATCAGTTTCCAGCTGAGTTGAGTTGGATTAGATTCCATTCAATTATCAGTCGTTCATGTAATATGATCATTATTCAGCTGTATGTTTAGGCTGTATTCAGTCGTATGTGAGATAATTTTAAGTACTCTGAATTCATGCAGTAATCGCTGTAATTTTCTCCTGTAACTTGTCGTAAATCATTAGTTAGCACGCAAATGGGCTATTCAAGATTCGAAGATTTAGTTGGTGTGGTGAGACCACGTGTTTAAGTTCCATCATTGAATCCGAATCATGTTCTACATGAAGATTTAGTTGGTGTGGCGAGACCACGTTTTTAGTCTAAATGAAAAAAGAGACATAACATACCAAAATTTTGTTGCATAATTAAAAATTGAAATCAAGAAATTAGTTAACATTACAATCATAACCTAATCAGGCAGTCAAATGCCACAAACAATTGTGAATGGCTTCCCCATTTCTTTTCCTAGCTACTAATCCAGCAACATGAACACCTTTAACAACAAACCCACTTTCTTCATCATCTTCTTCACTTTTTACTGCCTCAACAAAACCAATCATCATCTCATTCACTGCTTCATACCCTTTATGAGGATCTCTTGCTTGTATAAGCATTGCCATGATAATAACCGCGTCATCTTTACCATGTTCACCAATCCTTTCTACACCATTTTCGCTTCTTCGTCGAGTTATTCCTCGTTGCTGTTTTACCACTTCTTTGACACCCTTTTGAATAAGGAGTCCTTCAATCACAAGGCTTCCTAGCTTCTCAATTGTTTCTAAGAGAATAGCTTCCAATATATCATTTGGAGTGTTACATTTATTTAAGGTCAATCTTTGTGTGTTCTTTATTGAAATGTCGGTCATTGGCATCGAGTTAAGTAACCAAGTCATTAGATTTTCTTTTCCCATTGCAGCCATTTGATTTAATACCTGTAACAAAGTAGGATTTAAGCTTAATTTAGCTCATCTAATATGCTTTAAGAAAACCATTTTGTTTTTATTAAGAGATTCCTTTATCTTATGCACAAGCTAAGTTATGCTAAACATTTGGTTACAAGAGATCAATAAAATACTGCTCACTATATGTTGACTAATTTTGTATGCAGTAGAATGCAAACTATCTTAAGTAGAACTGATCAAACTATTCAATATCATTTCCATATTATTTGGAAAATAGAATAAGCTGCTATTTCTTGTTAGAAGTGATAGTTTTGAAAATTAACAAGATTATTGATTAGCAAGAATATGAAATTCGAACCATCAAGTAAACAAAAATAAATAGATAGATTAACAATAACGAATAACGAACATGCCCTTAATTTTTTACCTCTGGAATATTGGATCCAATATCGTGTGGCACGAGTGATGGAGAAGAAAATTGGATAACCAAATCTTTGCAAGCCCCATGAAGCGCCTTCTTATAACCCTTCAACGAGTAAATATAACCTCCATCGCTTTCTAATCTTCCAAACCTAATATCCCTTTGATCACCATCAAATTTATGAACACAATTTCGTTCATAGTTGGTGTTGTTACTCCTTAAATGTCTCTTTAATCGCGATAATTCAGTGCTAAGCCAATCCTCTAACTCCACTAATTCTTTCTCCAATTTGTGCATTCGTTGCCATTGCATTTCAACCAATAATGCATTACAATGTTCATCTCCGAGTGAAGAGGGATAGTTCACATATGATACTTTTTTCGAATTCGGAATTGGACTTACAACTACCTTAGTAGATATTGATGACGAGTTTGAACATGGTATATGATTTCGACATGATAAGTAAAATGATTTAAACTTTGAATTAGGCTTCTTCTTTTTGCTTTGCATTGTTATTGATCTTTAAAGACGATTTTTTTGGGGTGTTAATTTTGATTAATAAGAAAATGACATATATACTTGTAAAGTTTTTGGTTCAAGGTAAGATTACAGGATTAGTGTGTTTGAATTTTTGAAAATTTGAAAATCTGTTGATCTAAGCTAGGTATATGCAACGGCTATGAGGTATTGTAGGATAGGTTGTTTTTAATTTCACCCTTCCAATGCTTAGGATATGTAATTGATCAAATTGATTGTCTCGTCATCTTTAATGTCTGATAAGTAGTGGACTCATCACAATTTTCTCATTTCCAAATGGATGATAAGTAGAGTATGTTGGTTGATAATACTGTAATAAACTCCGAGAGGGTGGAATCTAATAAGATTCAAGATTGACTTTCATCTACATCACTACCTCTGTGTTCCTCTCTATTCATGAAAAAAATGGTTGATCGTGTCATTTAAACAAGACGTGGACTAATTAATTTTATTTATAAGAAAGTTTGAATACGTATTAAAAAAAAATTGAAGTTGTTTATGAAAATTTTAACCAAACACAATTCGATCAAAAATAAACTTGATTAAGATTTATACATTGTGAATTTGTGATCACTATCAGACATAGTCAATATAATTTGACCGATCACAAATTCACCATATATAGCATTATTTAGGGACAAATTAAAGTTAATTAGAGGTTAATTCCATACTTCCATGGGAGACAAAATACTTGATCAATAGTATCATGATCAAAATTTACAATATGCATATATATTTGAAAGATCCAAAAATCACTCCAAATAATCTTGATTGCACCTAATCTCACTCTCCATAATATAACTCATAAAATTGAATTGAAAAAGGTTAAACTGAAGAATCAAGAATGAATTCTAGAAAATAAATTAATCTCATAATCACAAATTACATGATCGAATCAAAGAAGCAAACACAAATATTACTAAATATTTAAATTAATTAGAAACTCTAAGTCAAATATCATATTGCATGACACAAATTTCAAGCTAAAAAAATACATCTCAAAACATAAAAAAGGAGGTTCAATTTATCAAGACTTTTTACCTAAAAATACAACTATATCACTCAACCCCTTAGGGTTACAAGTAAACGCCTTCCCACGAAACAAAGCCTTAGTACTTAGACTATTATTAACGTTGCTTGAACTTCTATCATCTCTAAACGAATTAGCCGATGAAGATGTCAACGTTGATGCAAACGAAGAGCTCGAATAACGGGCTGATTCGCTATGATCATACCTTTGTGACTCGAAAATTCGTTGCTCATGTTCATGATGATGATGTTTCCTTTCATTATAAAAGATGATCTTTCTAGGAATAATTCCTACAACTTTGTAGTTATAATGACCTTGCATTGTTTTCTTGAGTTTCTTCACTAGCCATGCACTAGTCCACTTTTTTGCCTTAGGCTCATCATCTTCGACATCAAAGTAGGGTTTTGGAAGGTTCATTGATAGCACCGCGGGTGGTGGGCTTAGGGGTGGTAAGATATCATCCGGTGGTGGTGTGATGGGCTTCCCTGGCTGTGCCTCCCATACGAACGCCTTCCCTTCCGGGGGCCGCCCGTAGTAGAGCCTAGAAGAGCATGAGCCTACCGTTGATTGCCTTCCTAGGATTTTGCTAGAAGAAGATAAGTCATAATCCATTTTTCTTTGAAATAAACTTTAGTACTTTATGATAAACTTCTTTGTAAATATAAGGAATATAATTAAGGTGTATATATTGTAAAGTACATACATATATATAGATTGAGAATATGTATATATGTAAGCAAGAAATTATATACAATAACAAGCTAAAGTGAAGGGAAATGTTGATAATTTAATATGAGCACATGATGCTAGCATGCATTTTTTCAAGAGATTGCGTTGATTTTTTTTTTTGAGATATTTATTTTTAGTATATTGCAATTTACTCTTGATATTCTTGAATAGGTGTGTTACCTTTTTTATATATTGAAGCAAGCAAGTAAGGAAAATATAGGGAAAGAAAAGAAAAAAAAAATTATCTTTTTTGTTAAGATTACGATTTGCTAGCTACTTGGACTATTAGACGTAGATTAATACTATATTACTATGCAACGATTGGCTAATGGTGGGGCCATGTGTTAGCATGCTATAATTCTAAGACAAAGTAAGGTTAACTTTCCTTTGCATACACTATATGCTAATGTAATTTCTATCTAATCACCTTGTTTATTGAGTTGACTAACGACTTAAAAGTGTCATTAATTACCTAACCAAGCCAAAGGGGGAGGTATGTATAAATGTATAATTAATAATAAAGTCAACTATGGGAAAACTTAATGTATTCTTGCTTTTAAATAAGAAAAGTAATCTTGATTTTTGTGGTTAGAAATTTGTAGTATTTTGTATAAAATACATATAACAAGCTATAATCAAATTTATGTGCTTAAAACAAGCAATATAATCATGTTCACTAATGCTTCAAATGCTGACATACATCTTTATTTCCTTTTTCAATCTTGTACACAACTCAGAATTTATTTCATTATGTGTTTGTGGATAATGGATACATTTTCCATATTTCACTTTTAATAAAATGAACGACTAATTCCCGTGGATTGCACATAATGTAGCATGTACGTCAAAATGTACTTTTAGCTAGTCTTTTAGAGTCGTGTATTGTAGTATAGCTAGATATCCTAGAAATTAGAGGGGAGGGCTGGGAATTCTTATTCCTCTAATCATTAGGCCAACTTTAATTTTCAATGAAACTGAACAAGCAAGAGGTTGTGCTCATTTCACTTGAACTCAGGCTTGATTAGACCTGAGTATCCTTGATTTTCATGTTAAATGTACACTTGATTAGTTGATTGGACCTAATCAACCTTGATTAGCTCACTCTGAGACTTTTTTTTTAATATAACATAAATAATACACAAGGGAAATTGTTTGAGAAAATTCTTCATCCTATCAAAAAGGTTATTCATAAAGTTTATTGACATTTCATCACCTTTTTTGTACTTAACGCACGCTTTGAAACTTCAACGAAAACATAGTGATAAAAGTAATTAACCTAATACATCCAATTATTTATTAATAGAAAATATTGTCTAAACATAACTACTACACCACATATAAAAAAAAGACAAAGGTTTAATTTATAAAAATCAACATACGTACTTCCACCATTAGCTAAAACAAACCAAGATCTAATTAAGAATTTAGTTTAATTAAGCGAATTGAAAATATTAAAAGTATACTTTTAGATGTGGAATTAACGAATTTGGTCTCTTAGACATCACTTTGTTGAAACCTAATTCTAT